GGTGGGGGGTATGTATTCCTTCATTTATTCACTCAATGAAGATACTGAATCTATCAAAAGTTAAATGCAACGAGGTATGGGCTAGTGTGGACAGCTATCGCTCGTGACTTCTTAGGAATCATGGCCTCGTCGGTATCGAGCGAGCGGGCATTTTCTTCAGCTGCGCTAACAATTACAAAGTGCCGCAACCGTCTCAAAGGGGATGTCGTTGAGGCACTACAGGTAATGAAGTGCCTTCTTCGTCATGACCTGGTCTTTCGTGAGTCAGGACCTTCATCATTGACCGAAGATCCTGCAGATGAGGATGACGAGCTACTTGATGGGTGCCCCGAGAAGTCAGGTGAAGATAGCATGGTTTTCATTGACATAGAGAGTTTAGAATAACTTCGGTAGATGTGTTTCGTTGTTGTGTACCCAATCTATGTCAGGCCCGGGCTTCAGCCCAAGCCCAGCCCAGCCCAAGCCCAAGCCCAACATCAGGGCTGGGCCAAAATATTATGAGGCCCATACCCACTCAAGCCCAGGCCCAGCCCTGGGCCATAGGCCCAAGCCCGGCCCGCACAACACTAGGACTCGTATGACAAGGGGCTGCTTGTGATGGGGAAACCCATATGAGCCAGGAGCATAGTATATAGGTGCGAATTAGACGCCAGCGTCAAGTTGCGGTGATCATATGCATAAGATTCATGCTTGTGGCAAACATTCTGATTTGCTGGACGTAAACTTATTGTTAGAAGCCGAAGGTCATGTTTTATGTAATAGCACGGACTTTTCATATTTTACATAAGAACTTAGCTAAACGTTTATCCCGCGGAACCAATGCGCGTCCGACTCCACCTTTTGCTTTTGATCTCCACTTTGGCCCAGGCATGTACTCCACTGGAGCACTGAGTGCTGAGCTCATCTGACTGATCATGGTGTTCTTTCAGGTGACCGAGCACCCCAACAGTTTTCTCTTGCACCCTGACTCGGATCTCAGTTCAGCCTCATTGTCATGGCGTTCAAGTTGTCTTGCTCTTTTCACAGTATTGTTGGCATTGGCTAGACCTTAATGTGAACGCAATGTGACTCAGCGGAGATGCGCGTGTGTGAATCACTGTTCTGCACCAACTTGAACAGAGTCATCGAGGTGCAGATTATTCGACAATGCGGCGCCTGCGCTCAGCCGATCAGAAGCATACTCAAGTTTTTTTTCCAATGACCGACACCTCCGGCAGGCCTTACACATGGTGACTACTCTCAACTGCTCCATCAACAGCTCGCGGACAGATTTATCGTGCTGAGTCCAATATCTGACAGGGGCCGTTTCTCGACGTCAAACCACGGGGTCGCAAGCCTTGTTAACATATTGGGAACACTCTGGTTAAAGTTTGTGTTTCAGGGAGCGCAGCACGTGACGATTGGTCTGATGATCCTGGACTCTATCACGGGAGGGTCAACAGTGTGCCAGGATAGAGTTCTACCTGCAAGTACTACTAGCAGCCATGGTCACGTCGTATGTTGTGACCGTGAGATTTGCATTACACGCAAGTGGGTCGGATGGCCCGGATATTCCAGGATCGAGATGACCCCGGGTTCGCCGTCCAAACAGCACCCTTTAGTTTATTTCTGGGGGTGATAGCCTGATGCGGGTATCATAACTAATCACTACTCCACAACCTTGCTCTCGAGTCGTTTGCCTTTTACTTGTAAACCATGTTAACACCCACCAACGTCGCTTGGCTGGTTCTAGGTCTTACTGGTGTCGGAGTGTATCTGACGATGCGAGCGTTCAACAAGAAGAATCCTGCACCTTATCCCCCTGGTCCCCTGGGGTGGCCTCTCATTGGGAACATCCAAGCCATCCCTCACATCAAGCCCTGGTTCACTTTTACCGAGTGGGGCAAGAAGTATGGTTGGTGCCTCTTTTTTTCTCCAAAAAATCATGTTTTTCAACCCCATGCGTGCAGGGGACATCGCGCATGTCGAGATTCTGGGTCAGCACATCATGGTAGTGAACTCTACCAGGACTGCAATAGAGATGCTGGACAAGAAGAGTAATGTGTACTCCGACCGCCCTGTCCTTCCCATGGCTGGCGAACTCTGTGGCTGGAAGCACGCTTTGGCTCTTCTCCCTTACGGTGACCGTTTTCGTCAGTACCGCAAGAACTTACACCACATCATTGGCAGCCGCGCCGCTTTGAAGATCTACCACCCGATCGAAGAAATTGAGACTCGCCGATTCCTTAAGCGTGTGTTTACAAAACCTGACCAACTACGAGAACATATCCGACAGTTGGTATTATTTATCTTTGTATTGGCGTGATGTTGAATCTTTATAGGACCGCCGGCGCCATCATTCTGCGCATCGCTTATGGTTACGAAGTGAAAGAGAACAATGATCCCTTCATTGACCTTGCAGACCGTGCTGTGCACCAATTCTCGCTTTCGAGCACTCTTGGTGCCTTCATGGTTGATGATATGCCATTCTGTAAGCAATAGCATCTGATATTTGCCTCTGATCACCTTATCATTTTTAGTGGCAAATGTCCCCGAATGGTTCCCTGGTGCTAGCTTCAAGCGCAAAGCGCGTGAGTGGTGTGAGACCCTCAATGAAATGGCTTCTGCACCCTACGAGTTTGTCAAGGATCAAATGGTGACTAATTCATAGTTATGCGCTCGTGCGTTGAAGTTTCAATCTTACAGGCGGCTGGCATCGCGCCGAATTCTTTTACCTCTGAACTGTTGAAAGGCCGTATTTTATCTGCGGAAGAGGATCACATTGTGAAGTGGTCTGCTTTATCTTTATACAGCGGTGGTGCCGACACGGTAGGTCCTTCCCTACATATATTAAATTGACATGTTTAAGAGCAATACTAGAGTGTTTCCTCGATTTACTCGATTTTCCTAGCTATGACACTTTTCCCTGATGTGCAGAAGAAAGCTCAGGACGAAATAGACGCTGTTGTTGGATCTGATCGTCTTCCATCCTTCGCCGATCGCGACTCACTCCCCTACCTTGAGGCGCTCGTAAAAGAAGTTCAACGCTGGAATGTTGTCAGCGCTGCCGGTGCGCACATATCATTTAACGTATTCTTTACTTACCGAGCGGTATCTCAACGGCAGGTTTCTCCCACCGTGTGACCGAGGACAACATCTATAACGGGTTGTTTCTCCGTATTCGATATGCTAACATAATTTTATGACAGGTTCATGCTTAACGACCCACTGACATATCCCAACCCGTCGCAATTCAGCCCTGAACGCTTCTTGGCCAATGACGGAAAGAAGCCCGAGACAGACCCTTACACAATTTGCTTCGGCTTTGGAAGACGGTAAGTATATGATTGGGTTTGAGTGGAAGGCTATGTAACTCTCTACCTTGCAGTATCTGTCCAGGTATACCCAATTCATAGAAGCGCCGGGGTAAACTATGACGTTACTTGCTTAGGTCTCCACCTCGCTGACGCCTCAGTTTGGTTATCCGCCGCGATGTCATTGGCCGTGTTTGATATCTCCAAGGTCGTCGAGAACGGCGTTGAGATCACGCCTGAGATCGACCCCTCATCAGGTACAATCAGGTATGTTGCACATCTTATCAAGTCCACCGCAGGTCTAGATAGATACACTTGTAGCCATCCCAAACCTTTCAAGTGTTCTATCAAGCCTCGCTCTGCGAAAGCCGTGGCGCTCATTCAGCAGGATGTTGACTATTAAGGTGCGAAGATAGTAAGGTGGTCAGTGTTTCTTCACAGCTGACAGCGAGATCTGTCATAGTTTGCACTTAGAATCACAGGATTATGGTGTCACATCGCTATATTGTATATATGTCATCTTGCTCCGCCATCTTTTTTACAATGTGCGCTCTGGTATCAAAAACGTTCGCGATCGAAGTTCCTGACAATCAGCCTGTATAGCACTGCTTACTCAGTTGTCAGGGGCATATTCAAGTATTTAGGCTCTCTGTTCAACGCAACGGACTGACATCTGGCAGGTATAGCGCATAGCAACTACCCTCAACTACTTCCCAAATAACTCGTGGATAGACTTCTCGTGCTGCGTCGCAACCATGAACGTTGGAGGGCGCGCGCATCTAGCACGCACTCGCCTGATGACTGGGACTTTGTCGCGTAACGCCTCCAATCGGTGAAACAAATGACACTTATGACATGATACAACCAAGAGTTTGAATTCCCCGGGAAATCGGGGTGTCTTTAAGTAGTTTCGACTGAAGGTCTCTTTCTATGGATGATCATGACAGAGCGAATGAGTGAAAATCGGCTTCAGCGAGTTCGTCGCTATTCCAAGTCCTTTCCTTCTGGTAGCGCATCTCTACTGTCTTTCGTCTCGACACGAACTCTAAACAATGCAACCCAAGCGTCAACGGTCCCTGGATGACTGTAGTGTTGACTAAGAGCAGAATTCACGCCTGGAGATTGACACCTGGGATATAATATGCGATGGTATTGGACCGCACGCTCCGGAAGAACGACCACGTTTTGAGGGTCGGCGGAGAGGGGGAAAGATCTTAAGCGCTGTGGAAGTGGTCCCAGATATACATGACGAGTGCAGCCCATCCAGGACATGCTGCAACAATGACCCAAAAAGGAATGTCAACTGTTTGGATGCTAAGGGAGCATGACATGCAGAGGGCTGTGTCTCTGGTGGCTTCAGTGGACCTCCATACGTGTCTAGGTCAGGCACGACGCATGCACCGGAAGTAGCAAGGATCAATTGCGTGTGGTGGACCAGTGCGTCGGTCAATCGAAAGGAGAGGAGTTCCACGTCAAGATTTTGACAGCCCACATCCCCGACGATGTGATCATCACCTAGAGGAGGATCTCCGCCAGTTCCGATGCGAGTTCGGAATTTTTGCTTCTTTGTTGCGGAAAGGGAGCAGCGTTCGAGCTTGAACCCAGAGAGAGAAGCCTGGCCATCTACAGGTAAAACCGGAGCCAAAACACGAAATCCCGGAGGCTGAGATATAGATTTGAGCCCTCCCTCTGCTTTAGTAGCACGCGATGGACATTTCGATGAAAAGGCTTTCGTCGTCGGTCCTCACAAGTTCCTTTGCGGCAGCGACTCTCCGGCAGCAGCAGCACGACGACTACGACTACGACTACGACCTCAACCTCAACCACGACCACGACCTCGCAGTTGCCCATCTCCCCGCTGCAACCAGGTGTTTGCTGTTGGTGTTATCGTATAGTCAAGGTCATCATCCACGTTGCGCCCGATCCCAGTCAACCTTCCGCTTCTTGATTGCTGCATCGTACCGTACCTTCGTTCACCTCCTGATGTGGAAACATGTTCGGGGGCGATACGGACCGGTGGTTCAGCCAAATGAGAAGCCGTACAGGATTACTGCCTTGGACCCTCAAGCTTTCAAGCTTCAAGCTTCAGGCCTGTTGCTTGGCATTGCGCCTTCTCCAGGACTGACTCGAGCTTAGGTTTGTTCCCCGAAAGCGTTCCTCCAGGTCATCTCCAAGTCCAAGTATCATCCCACTGTACTGCGAACACCATGCGATGTCAAGATCAACTGATAGTATTTCGAATTGTATTATCATTCTTGTGTATGAGATAGAGTACACACTAATATCAGTTCGCATGACAATCATTTACTGTACGTGAATCGACGTATCACATTACCGCCTCAGACCTGCATAAATGACAGTGGTTAGCATGCGGAACAACTTGGTCACAATAATAAACAGAAGTCGGTCAAAATAACTATAACTGCAACAGAGGTCTTCGCCTAGAACGCCTCTCCCTCGCCCATTTGCACCTCCCCTCAAAACGACGAGAAGCACAGAGCAAAAGAGTGGCTGGATGCATTTGCATCCCCATGCTCCCATGATGTAAGATTCATCCTACCGGCCGACTTGGATAGAAATGACACCCACGTGGTAAAGGCGCAGAACATTGATAGATCAGGCGGTAACAGTTACATAGCATACATCTGTGAAAGCAGGAAGCAATAATCAGCGATACAGCTTAACATCGATCAATAAAGAAATGAGAAGCATCGATCAAATAACTATAACCTCACGTATCACTGCGCAGAAGCGCCCACTTCTGCACCTGTATGTGCAGGCAGCCTCAATACGAGCCCACCTGCTAGGCGATGAAGGGACTGGATTGTAAGTCCCTGCGCTCGTGGAAGGTAGGGTATCATCATGTCGATGCCCTCTTTTCACATGAAACAAATGAGAGGAAGAAATTCTACTCACCAGTGTCGATCGGTGCATAAGAGATCACAATGAGATCAACCAAGAAAAAAATTGGTTAAAAGGCGTTTATATTTGTTCTTGTTGTGCAAAGACTTTCATATTCAACAGGGACAAACAACCGCTAGCTCGACTTGAAAGCATTTACCAATTTAGAATTTGGACAGCATTGAGGCCTAGGTGAGGTCCGTTTGGGTGCTCCCGTGCATAGTATCTCAGTGCTAATAAATTTTATTGCACATAGGTGTTATGTCCACCTCTACTGTATTTCGGACATCGACACTCTCGTGTCACCGAATACTACATCCATGCTACAAAGTCGAGATGCTCAAGTCTCTCTGGTCTCCAAACTTCTCCTTTGTGAGGACGTATGCCTCGGCTGGCCCAGCACGCCGCACTGGTGATGACAAAATACCCTTTCGGGTCGTCCGCCTCGTACATCCCGAAACGGGTAAACTTGAACCCCCAACTCGACTATCTGACGTTCTCGAATCTGTGGACCTGAAGGCTTTTCGGGTGGAGTTAGTTACGGAGGAGCCAGAGCCTATCGTAAAAATTGTGGACAGACGCGACTCATATCAGAAGTGGAAGGAACAGAAGAAGGCGTTCAGGAAGAGCGCGAAAGCAGGAGAGCAGAAGGAGATACAGATCACTTGGGGCGTCGATGATGGAGATTTGAAGCACAAGATCACAAAGGCACGTGCAGAACTGGAGAAGGGATACCGAGTGGATATCGTCATCTCACCGAGGAAAGGTCAGAAATTGCCCAAGCCCGATGAAATGGCAGCTCGCGTATCGGAGATCGCGTCAATGCTATTAGACATTGCAAAGGAGTGGAAAGCACGCGACGTTCAGAAAACTACTGCTGTCATGTCGTTCCAAAAAAACCCATCATGACAAGGAAATGTATAGTTCCTAGTTGCGGGCGGACAGATATTATACACATTTATCGTACTTTTCCTCCATTCTGCAACTTCCGTCTCCATCTGTGCTTCCACCGATACCTCCTACCAAGTGCCCTCCATACCGTGCGCCGAACAGGTAGACCACGCGTCTTCAGTGTCCGTAGCGCGTGTGGTCGGAACGGAGACCTACGCGACTTTGGGAATGCAAATGGCTGCTCATTAAGCTCGGGTCGATGTCGATGTTCCTCGAAGCCATAGGGCCACTGCCCGACGAACAAGTGTCTGAAGCCTGAAGGAACTTTGAAGCCAAGAGCATGCATTTCCTTCACAATTCTATTTAGGAAGGGATTCCAGTTTCTGGGCCTCACGCCTAGCCTAGAGAACTGAACATTTCCAAGGGTAACCTTGCGTCGCCAGTGCGCAGGGGTTGTGCGACTTGACCGCTGAAAAGTCTTAGGTTGTCGACCGAACATCTCAAGGGCGGCGTTGAAGAAACGGGCGTCTGGGCGAGGAGGATTGAGAGTAGCTTTATCCACATTCTGCAGCTCAGACAAGCCATTGCAGACAGCTATTCCAGCACGGAACATGATTCGATACAGCGTTGCACCCATGAGTAACGCAAGGGTACGACGAGATCTGTGTTTGCGAGCGGCCGCACTTTGAGCGAGCACATAACTCGCCCAACCTCGCACTTTGTTGCTTCCAAACTTGGGAGCCCAGTCATCCATAGTTGGCCTAGAGGTGTAGCGCAGCTCAAGACCACGCCGCGCTTCAGCACCATAACATTGTAGCATTATCGTATACGCTTGGATGGGCAAGCACCAAGGCTTCACAGGATTGCCGTCAATTCCAATAGCACCCGTCAAACTTGCACGCTCGGCTTGCTTTGCAAGCAACCACACGCGCTCCGCGAGCCCTGTTTTCCCGGCTTTGCAAAGAGCATTGAGGACAGCGATGAAAAACCACGGTCCGAGGGAGACAGCGCGCACGAGACGCATCTGACGGGTTCGCATCCGTACAAGAACCAGTTGCTCGTCCGTAACAGAGCCCCATGATGGGTGGTCAATGATAGATAGCTCGGGAAGAACATGGAAAAGGATGTCAGCGATGATATCGGGGTTCCCTGTGGCTGTAAGATGCTGGATATAGCTCGTGAGCGTGAACGCGTCGGCCTTAAGTGGTTTCTCCAAGGTTGGTAGACCATCCTTCTGATGTTTCAAGGTGACCGCCCACTTCGACTCTGCTCTGTTTACATTGGGCCCATTAGGAGCGACGACCAGTGATGGTGGCGGCTGTACCGTGATGGCGTGTTGACTGTTCTCCATAAGCCCACGTAGTCGTTCGAGGGCGAACTCGGTAAGGTCGTTCCGTCTCAACAAGGAACCGGACCTGATAATCACATTGTATGTTGTGACGTCTGGCCTTAAAGGTGGTTTGCGCTTGTGTTCCATGTGATGTAGCAGTCTTTTTGCAAGAGGGATGGATTGTCGATGACGCAATGCGTAGTGTAAGAGGGCGTTATATGACTCAAGGCTAAGCGGAGGCACGATGCCAAATTGTTCCGGGCGGGCACCTTTGGATGAACTTGAGAAGTCGTTTGCCAGTCGCAGAATAACATGATGGGTATACTCGTAAGATTGTACCCGTGTTCCCTTGCCGAACTCCGTAACCCATATTTTGTCTGGATCTTTGGGCACTGAATAAAGGGCGCGTATCACGGAGGATACATCCGTGTAAGGAAGTGATCGCGCATCAAGAAGGCTGGCAATATTACAAAGCGCTTGAAGAGCTGCTTCACGTCGTGGCCGATTAGACTCTTCTGCTGGATCAAGCATGATTTCTTTCTGCGCTTTGGAGAGTATCATCTTCAGCATGCGTTGTGAAGGGGGGCTGCCGTGTAGTGATCCAAGTCCATGCCGAGTTGGAAGTGCCTGAGTCCATGCTCCCCCCTGTTCTCGTACTTGGGTGGCTGCTTGCTTCATCTCCCAGTCTTTGACCAGCAGTACGAACAACAGCGACGCGACGATAATTTCGCCCTGAACGAGACAAATATTGATGATGAACTGGTAGGTCTTCTCATAACAGCGTTGTCGATGCTGTCGTGCATGGAGAAGAAGCTGAAGAGCGAGGCGCGTGCATTGTTCTTCGACCTGCTTCGGTTTAATACACAACGGGTCTCGCTGTGAGGGTCTTCGAGCCTGTAATAATTTGCCATCGTTGGCTCTTTCCATTTGACACCGAATGACTGCGTGCAACGTGGAAGCACGGATACGAGTTCCGTCTTGCATAAGCTGCTCTGCAAGTTTGCATGCTCTCAATGACATGCGTTGGCGTACGAAATGGTGCAATAAACAATGGGCCGACAGAGCCGGTGAGACGGGTTGACCAAAGTCGATAGGTTCGTAGTCGAGTTTTGGTATGAGCAAGCCTCCGCCCTTATCAGCAGAAGGCTGCGGGGGAAGGTTGGAACGGCGCAGAGAGTTGACAATGAACGATGCGTCAGCAGTAGCACCATTCGCGCAAGACATTCGGACGGCACGAGCTGCGGCAAGGGATATTTCGGAAGCTGTTGCAGGCGAATATGGGGACGCAGGGTCACCAGCCTCTTTGGTATCATTATGAGAGGTGCGGGGAAGTAAACGTGCTTGCGGCGGAGAAAAATATTTGCAAGAAAGTGAAAATGGTTTATGTAGGGGTGAATTCGGTCGATAAGGTTGAACAACCTTTGACGGGGGACGAATGCAAGAGGACAATCCTATTATAGGGAGGGACGCATGTCTGGTATGAGATCGAATGCTATAGGCGGCTTGTGACCAAATCCATTGCATGTGTCTCTCATGCCTACCAGCATATTTAAGTCAGACATCCTAATATGCACATGATGCTCCGACACTCACCAGTTTGCCTAAAGGCAGTGGTATCGATTGACTGAGTAATTGCAGACTATTCCGCAGCCTTTTCGTAAAAAATTGGCTAGGTTTTGCGTACAACGTTGTCAGTACTCAGCGTCACTTTGATGTTCCCGTACAAGGTTTTGAAGTTGTAACCAAGAAAGGCAACTTCCGATTCACGTGACAAATTTTGGGAAATTTGGAAGAAATAAAATTCAAAGGTCAGCGTCTATTAACTTACCAGACGGCGACGTCCAAAGAATCGCAGAACACAGTTGCTAATTTTTGGCTGAAACATGAGCTACGATAGATCACACTACGACAGACCTCATCGTGGGGGCGGAAATCGTCGACGCTACAAAGGTGAGGCATGTCGTGAATCAACAAACAACTTGAACCAATATGTGGACCAGACGATTATGATGCGCACGACAGGCGAACCCGGGATTCCTTCGAATCACCTGAGCAGATCCTCAAGAATACAATTATAAAACTGGGAGAAGTGGTAAGTCCTGTCTCACACCAAAGGTTGTTGTCACCGACACTCATGGCTGGCTGTTTCAGGACCCCATTCAAGAACTCCCGCGGCTAGCGAAACAAATCCGCGAACAAGTACCACTTTCGGTCCCAGTCATATCTGAGGGTATTCGGATAGCGTGAATGCATTACCCCTTCCTTTTCGAATTTCGCTGACGAGGACTCAGTGTGACTGAACAACCGTACAAAATTCCCTACTACGCAGCTCTTCTCCGCCTCTTGCACGATCCAACTGAAGGCGAAAATGCCGAATCTTCCACAAGTTCGTCTCTTGGCAAGCAGGTCCTGGAAGATTTTTGGAAGGGCTTCCAGGGATACCTAGACAAGCTTGCATGGAGAGATGTTCGACTATGTGTGAGCATTGTTTCCAGACCTCAGAGTGTAACACCTCTCATATGTGATGCATAGATTCACTTTTTTGCGCACTTGACAGTGGCTCAAGTCATCTCCATCGAATCCATGTCTGCACTCCTCCAGTCATTCGCTGCTGTCCTCGACGAGTTTGGTGTTTCCTACGGACGCGGCAGAAATGCAGCTCTCTGTGCTATTGAGGGCTTAATAATCGTGCGCCATTTTCTTTGGAATATGACAAGCATTTCAGTAATTCTTTTTGCAGAGCGGTGCAGTAATGGCAAAGAGCTCATCTTCCAACACTACTGAAATAATCAAGACCGTCCAAAATTACAACGATTCTATCTACGCACCCAAGCTACTTGTCCAGCCTGCAATGAGTTTGTTTACAGAATCCAGGTCTTTGGAGAACGCTGATGAGGTTCGCTTTTCATTGTACATCGGAATGTAACTAATCTGGTGTGAAGGTCATTGATACGGGACTCTTCGTGCTGAAAGCTCTTGACTCCTTTGAATTTGTAGAAGCGTCTGAGAGCTTCCCGCAGCCCTACCTCGATTTCCCGGATTTAGATCCCACAGTGTCTGCTCCTTTCGAGTTGCCCGCAATACTGGTGCCGCCTGAGGTCATTGAACTTGACGGGTTGGCTACAGATGCTGGCGAAGACGCCCAGGTCAAGAAAGAAGACTGGCCACAGTATTTCTTTCACTTGTTCGACAACGACGTATGTGTTCCTTTTCCCAGGACTAATAACGTCCTAACACGCATGAAATTAGACGACCCCAGACTCTGCCACGCCCGCTGGATTCCTAGTACGGTCTCAAATCCTCGATACGATTGACATATTTGAGATCAATCGCAAAGAATGCGCCCGTCTCCTCCTCGAGTATCCAAAATGGTGTGTCCCTGGTACATTCAAGCCAAAACCTGGGGCTCCTGAGCCTGAATTTGAGTCTGGGAAGAATTGGCAGTTGGAGAGCACTGTCATAGAGGTAAAGCCCAGTTTGTCTTTGTTTCTGTATTGTCTGACTCACTTCATCAGGCCATCTTGGGCTCTCTTTATCTCCTCCCAGAATCGACGCATAAAACAGTCTACCACATTGCCCTGATTACCGAGCTGTGCAAGCTCTCGCCGTCAACTGTCGGCCCTGCCGTTGGAAAATCAATACGCAGGTTGTACACTGCTCTTGGGGACGGCTTTGATGTGGAGAACGCTCGACGCTTTGCAGAGTGGTTCGCGGTGCACATGAGCAACTTCGGTTTCCAATGGGTTTGGAAAGAATGGTCAACACTTTGCATATCATCCTGCATGAGTCGAATACTGAAGCGTCCTCGCAGGTTACCCGACTTGGAGCTCTCAGAGCAGCACCCTAAGCGCACCTTCATGCGCCGAGCACTGGAGTTCGAGATACGGTTGTCGTACCATGACCGAGTATTGAAGACTTTGCCGGAACCTATGCAGAACGACACCACCGTCATTTCTGATCAGACTCCAGGACCGGCCTTTGAATATGAGGACCCAAGTATGCTCCTTTACTCCGTGCATCCTTGTCATTGACGTTTGTCTATAGCTCATCCGCACTACGATACTGCCCAATCAATCCTTTCCCTTCTGCGTGGACGCTCTAAAGCCAACGAAGTGCTGTCGCACATTGAGTCGCTGAAGACCACTCTGGAGTCCTCAGGGACTCACTTACACGTAGACAACACTATTCGGTCGATCTCGATTCATTGCCTGCTCTCTATTGGCTCACGATCTTTTTCGCATCTCCTCAACGCAATTGAGCGTTACCTGCCGCTCCTGCGAGGGCTCGCCGGCACTGACGCAGAGTCCAAACAGGATATTCTCAGTGCTGTCGCGTCGTTTTGGCACCTGAATCGACAGATGGTGAATATTGTGTTTGACAAGCTCATGCAGTACCAGATCGTCGACCCCACGGATGTGGTTGGCTGGACGTTTGAGAATGTTGGGGGGGATGTGCATCTTAGCGGGATGCGACCGATGAGCCTGAGCGCATTTGAATGGGACTTGTTGAAAGGCGCGTTAGACAAGGCAAATGGAAGAGTCATGGTAGCCAGGAGGAAAGTCGCTGCACTCCGAAAGGAGCACGATGATAGCGTTGCGCGGGTAAAGGCGAGTGTTGGTGCAGACGTTGGATCCATCGAGATGGATGCGGATGTGAAGCCTTTCAAGCAAGGTACTCTCCAGCAAGCTATTGTACTTTATTCTGGCTGACCAGATCGTCTCAGATGACTCTGCCTCAGAGAACCCTCAGTTGACGGTGGCACTCAAGGCATTCGCAAGCCTCACCCGCGAGCAGAAGGGGGCTTTGGCACGAACGATCGAAGGCTTTGTATCGTGCTTGGCGCCATCCCCATCTGCAGGGCGCCAAAATCCTTATGCTGAGACAGTGATTACAGAGCAAGCTTGGGAAGTACGAGCTACATGGAGCGCAGACGAATGGAACACGTGGGAAACGTGGGGTTGGTACCGACACTTTTGCAGAACGGCAAGTATTTTTGAAAGCGTGATGTTCATAGGCTGATAATTTTATTTGGCACAGTACTCTCCCTACTTGCGAAACTACCAAGAGACGTTGGGTACAGTTGGGTTTGCCAAGATCGAAGGCTCGACGAGTCCTGCTGCTAAGCTGATGAAAAAGACTTGGGGTATGGCGACTGGTCAAGAATCATAATGACTTTCGTTCCTTGATGTTGTTCATATGTGCACACGTGTATACAACATTATTATGTCTTCATCATAGTAGCGCCAGGTCGCGCCGGTCTCTGGCTCCCCGTGAACTAGCAGGTTACGCAAAAACTTGCGTAGTACGTAAGGCACGATAGCGATATACTGCAATAGAATTGAACAGTGCAGCACCTTGAGAGCCGAATATGAATTTCGACATCTCGTCACATGGGACAGCGCAGGGAGACGAGGTACAACTTTGGACATAGTGAGGGGGTGAGGGCGCGTGCAATGATCCTTGTTCCAAAAACATCCTGGAGCTCAGGCAACATATATAGCCCTCATAGGCTGGTTGCTCCGCTTCAGGGGTCGTGGATCTTTCACTGTTAGCCCTGCCACCGGCAGCTGAGCGCGGTGCACTGACTTCACCCGCGGCGCCAAGACGGGGCAAGAACTCAACCTTATTTTCGATCGCGTCCAATCGAGGCATGCGATAAAGTTCACGTGACTTCTCGCAAGCAAACTGTTATGTAATTACACAACTCAGCTATTGAGGCAACAAAAAACATATAGGTATGCTTATGGTATGAATGACTGATAGAGTATTTTTGATGCTTTGATTTTTCCTAGCTGGGATGACGTTCATGATATGAAACAACCCTTCCATGCTCCTTCCATCGACATCCTCCTACCCCTACCCTGGGCCGTATTCCCTCTTCCACACATCTGCCCTTTTCTTCCGTACTCTGTATATCTCTCGACACAAGTTCAGACTCCACTGGCATTCAATGATCCATGTCGGCTGCTATCATCATTCAAGGGAAGAAACTGCTAGTGCAGGAGGATTTTAGGTACCAGTGCAAGAATGACTCAAACTACCCATGCGGTACTTGGCTTCTTGGCTTTTCGGTGCATGTTAAAATTGGTCCATCTGCTAGCCATCAGCATCCGAGTCAGTCACAACTTTTACATGCGTGCTCTGAAGCACGAGGGTTGAAGGCCCAACAGAGTCCAGACAAATAAACTTAGAAAAGGTCCTGTTATTAGTGATGGAAAAGTCCGGTTCTCCAGGAAATTAGGAGAACTGTGGACTGGACCATCGGTTCGGTTCTCCTAGTAAGCAGAACCATGGACCGGACCATCAGTTCGGTCCGAAAATGGTCCGGTTCTGGTTCAGTGAGGGTTCGAACCGAGAACCGGACCATCCAAACTAATAAAAATTTCGTCAAGAAAAATTATATTGAAACACGCCCAACAACAGATGCATCATGTAATACTAAATGCTACTAGACCAGTTCACCATCCTCATCATCTGTGTTGTCACAGAGTGCTGCAATCAACAAATCCAAATACTGCTCGGCGTCACTAGCGGCAGGGGGCAATAGTATAGTACTCATCAAAACGTACAACTTGTTCGAGATCTTGGCCCTTGTATGTAACACCTTCATTCAAAGATCTTGTTGGGCTCAACATACATACACTAGGCTAATGCTACACGACCTCCGGTCCAACGACGTCCACCTGCTTGCCAGGTACCCCATGGTTTTTTCAATGGAGTCTCACCAGCTTACGTGTGTCATCGCTATCACTTCAATTTCATTTTCTTGACCTCTTTGTTCTCAGTCCTCTGCACAAGGCCGTTCCCACTCCTCAGAACCGCAAAGATAAAACTACATACTGACTTGCCATCGGTTCAAACAGGTTCGAACCTGTTCAGAACCGGTTCTGCAATTCTGCAAGTCCCTGAACCGTGGACCGGACCAACGGTTCGGTCCTCCCTATTGCCCGAACCTTGAACCGGACTTCGGTCAGGTTCGAAACGGTTCAGGTTCGAACCGCGGTTCAGAACCGGACCTGGCCATCACTACCTGTTATATTTGGGGTGCCGTGCATTGTGTTTGATTATATAGTGTGATCAGTTTCTTGTCGGCCTGATCTTGCAGTTCCAATCGCTCCCCACTAATGAGTTTTTATACTGCTGACGAGCCTGCAGATGGCCTCTCTGCACAAGCTGACATAAATTGGTGAGTGAATTAAAAGAATTTCTCAGCGGGGCATTCTCAATATCTTAATCCATAATCAAGGTCGCCTCACCAACAGACTTGGACAAATCCCCAGTCTCCAATTACTGTCAGGGCTACATCTAATTCCAGCTGTTATACAGCACCACTCACTCCTACGCGCTGTAGAGACTCATGCCCCTCATGGTGTGATATGGCACTTTTCACTAGGGAGTTCATTGCACGAACTTGCAGCACCATTCTGTGTGCTATCTGCAGCTATCCCTATATGAGGCGCAGCTTTCCCGCACAACGCACGCCATGCGCGCACCATTCCCGCGCCTTACGATGTATACGCGCGCGCGCTTTCCCGTGCTTGATCGCCCTATAGCGCCAGCCTTCCGGAAGCATCCATCCACTGTCCACCAAGCTCTCTAGTGCGTGTATTTCCATTTCCCTTATTTACATATCATCCCACCTTTATTTATATCATGGACCCTTACTTACATATAGCTTTACATACCTTACTCGGTAGCGCTTCGGCTCCGCGTGACAGCGCTTAGGCGCCGTATATAAGCGCCAGCATTACATACTATTAGGAACTTTCGAACTTTGCACTTTAGCTCCCACTTACCACCCATCTACTACCTAGCAGAATATAGTTGCAATCTATTCCTTGGCACCTCGCACTCGCATCTCTTGTCTTGCATCATATCACCACTTAAGCAAACTCACACTTACTCTCACTTGTTTCCGCTCACGCGCGCGCGTGCTTCCCGCGGCTCGCGCGTACCTTCGCTTTCCCACGCCTCGCGCTTCGCATCAGCCGACCAGTAGCGCCTTCGGCGCGCACTACTAGATCCTTGCTGCACTCGCTTCCCCTTTAGGGTCGAACGCACTTGTCGTCTCAAGTATAGCAGACTAGGCAACGCGCGACCTCACAACATTTACAGATACAGTCAGGAGCATTTGTTTGTTCCTCTCTGTATTGTTGTTTCTACAGTGCTCTGTTGTCCCTGGACAATCTGTTCTGCAATACACCATTGAGCGCCAGCAACTAGAGAGACCACCATCTGGTCAACATTCAGAACCAAATTTGCAGTTTCCAATCAATGCTCCCATGGTTACACGTGGTGAATCATACACCCAGCGCCTGTATGCCAGCTCGTTTAGCGAGCAGTTCAAAGTCCAGACCCAGCAGCAGCCCTCCTCTTCTGGACTTGGAGAATGTCCAGGTAACCAAGTTCCGGCTGGCCCACAGGCTCCTTATGATGCCAGAGCATCTCTTCTGCTGAATACGGGTCATAACGACGATCCTCAAACTGCTTCAGCCCTTGATTTCTACTATGGTACTGTTTCAAAACTTGATCTTGAGTCACCGGTACCTGACCCAGGCACCAATTCCCCAGGAGCTCCACACCCCCAGTCAGCCATAGGTTCCACTCCAAGTATGGCCCATTCCTCAGTTCACATTCAGGCAGCCCACGGCCTGCAATCATCCACTAGGCGTAGCCCAGTTACAGTGGATATTTCCGACGGGCCTCCGCCATCACCAGCTGCTGATCCCCGATGGTCAAGTCAGGTGGGGTTGCACAGTAGGAGCCTATCCAGTACAATACATGTGATGCCAGGCAGGTCGACATCATCAGACCTCCCTCTGCGGCCTGAGAGCGTAAAAAATATTATGGCTTCACCTGTTCCACCAGAGACATCCCCAAGGGTGTTTAGCCCATACTCGGAGGATTATCCAACAGGTCCAGCTTACGTGGCTGTGACTACTTCTACCATTGAGTCCATGACTCCACCTAGTGATCCCTTGCCTGCACCTACACAGATTGAGAGCCTTGATGTCGGTGGTTCCGAAGAAGTACCGTTATATTCCCTCATTGACGAGGAACCTCCTCCCCCAGACTTCGACGAGTCGCAATCCATGCGCGGCATGACCAAGGCGAGCATGTATTATGCTGAATCGCCCATAGTGCTAGCACCTCCTGATGTGCCCTCACCACACGGGTCCGATGCTGTATCTGGGGCCATACCTTCATCAAGTGCAAATACTCCTTCATTCATTGGGGCTCCTCACACACTTTCTCCAGCACCACTTTTGGGATCTCCGCGAATGTCGCTGGCTATGCCAGACGTAATGTCATACCCTATGGGAATAGTACTGGAGGATGTTAAGGAGAACTTGTATGGTTACTTTGTAAAGGACTTGATGCCTGACAAGTCATTATCGCACCCATCCATGGAGGCTTCATCGTCATCTCGCACACAATTCCGACAGGTAGTTTCAGACAGGCAACCTAGGTATAACACCATTCCTCAGGACATACCACATCCTCCTATTTCTCTAGCAGTCTCTCTATGCAATGACGCCTCTGCGGAGGCATTTTCTACAGCACCATTGCCTGCTCTTCCACTGAGGCGTCCTGTAGCTGCTTCACCAGCACCCATCACAACAGCACCATTACCTACTCTTCCACTGAGACATCCTGGAACTTCTACACCAGCATCCATCACAGCAGCACCATTGCGTGCTCTTTCACCGAGGCATCCTGTACCTTCTACAGCAGCACCCATCACAGCAGCACCATTGCCTGCTCCTCCACCAAGGCATCCTGCTCTTCCGTCGAGGCATCCTGTAGCGTCTACACCAGTGCCTGTCGTAACTTTCACACCTTCACCCACGATGCCTGCGCGTCCCCATACATTAAACCCAAGGTCATCACATATGAATCCGGGCAACTTTAGACCAGCAACTTCCTCGCCTCTTCGACCCAGTAGCAGCCACCAACCAACACGCCTACCTCTTACTCCTGGAGTCAGGAGAGGGTTTACATTCCCTCCTTCATCAGCGGGTACTGTAGCTTCTACACCAGCACCCGTCACAGCTTTCACAGCTTCACCTGCGATGCTTGCACATCCTCATACATTAAACCCAAGGCATCCGGTCAACTTTGGAGCAACTTCCTTGCCTTCTCAACCTGGTAGCAGCCACCAACCAATGCACCTACCTCTTCCTCCCAGAGTCAGGGCAGGACCCACATTCCCTCCTTCCTCAGCGGGTACTGTAGCTTCTACATCAGCGCCCGTCACAGCTTTCACAGCTTCACCCGCAATGCCTGCACGTCCTCATACATTAAACCCAAGGCATCCGGTCAACTTTAGACCAGCAACTTCCTTGCCTCTTCGACCCAGTAGCAGCCACCAGCCAATGCACCTACCTCTTCCTCCTAGAGTCAGGGCGGTGTAGAAACAACAATACTGAGTGGGGCTATACGAAGATGCTCCAAACTGTATCTATAATGTTGTGAGGTCGCGCGTTGCCTAGTCTGCTATTCTTGAGAAGACAAGTGCGTTCGACCCTAAAGGGGAAGCGAGTGCAGCAAGGTTCTAGAAGTAGGCGCTGAAGGCGCTACTGGTCGGCCAATGCGAAGCGCGAGAAAGCGCGCAGGTACGCGCGAGGCGCGGGAAAGCGAAGGTACACGGGAAAGCGAAGGTACGCGCGAGGCGCGGGAAGCGCGCGCGCGTGAGCGGAGACAAGTGAGAGTAAGTGTGAGTTTGCTTAAGTGGTGATTAGATGAATAACAAGAGATACGAGCGCGAGGTGTCAAAGAATAGATTGCAACTATATTCTCTAGGTGGTAAGTGGGTAAGTGGGAGGTAAAGTAAGTATCCTCGTGGTCCGTGATGCTGGCGCTTATATGGCGCCTAAGCGCTGTCATGCGGAGCCGACTCGCTACCGAGTAAGGTATGTAAAGATATATGTAAGTAAGGGTCCATGGTAAAAATAGAGGTGGAACGATATGTAAATAAGAGAAATGGGAATATACGCACTAGAGAGCTTGGTGGACAGTGGATGGATGCTTTTGGATGGCTGGCGCTATAGGGCGCTCAAGCGCAGGAAAGCGCGCTGTAGAGACTCGTGCCTCGCATTGTGTGATATGGCACTTTCCACTAGGGAGTACACAGCACGACTTGCAGCATCACTCTGTGTGCTATCCACAGCTATTCCCTTACGAGGCGCAGCTTTCCCACGCAATGCGCAGCATGCGCGCACGACTTCCCGCGCTTTACGATGTATACGCGCGCGCGCTTTCCCGCGCTTGAGCGCCCTATAGCGCCAGCCATCCAGAAGCATCCATCCACTGTCCACCAAGCTCTCTAGTGCGTATATTCCCATTTCTCTTATTTACATATCGTTCCACCTCTATTTTTACCATGGACCCTTACTTACATATATCTTTACATACCTACTCGGTAGCGCTTCGGCTCCGCATGACAGCGCTTAGGCGCCATATAAGCGCCAGCAGTACATATTATTAGACACTTTACTTTCCAACAAGAACTTTACCTCCCACTTACCACCCACATACTACCTAGGAGAACATAGTAGAAATCTATTCTTTGACACCTCGCGCTCGTATCTCTTGTCTAGTATCTAATCACCCCTTAAGCAAACTCACTCTTACTCTCTCTCATTACCGCTCACGCGCGCGCGCTTCCCGCGCCTCGCGCGTACCTTTGCTTTCCCGCGCCTTGTGCGCACCTGCGCACTTTCTCGCGCTTCGCATCAGCCGACCAGTAGCGCCTTCGGCGCGCACTACTAGATCCTTGCTGCACTCGCTTCCCCTTTAGGGTCGAACGCACTTGTCGTCTCAAGTATAGCAGACTAGGCAACGCGCGACCTCACAACATTTACAGATACAGTCTGGAGCATCATTTGTTCCTCACAGTATTGTTGTTTCTACAGCGCGCGTGTATACATCGCAAAGCGCGGGAATGGTGCGCGCATGGCGCGCGTTGTGCGGGAAAGCTGCGCCTCATATAGGAATAGCTGCAGGTAGCATACAGAGTGATTGCTGCAAGTCGTGCTGTGTACTCCCTAGTGGATACTGCCATATCATGCCATGAGAGGCATGAGTCTCTACAGCGGGCCCACATCCCCTCCTTCATCAGCGGGTATCTCACCCTTTATAACTGCTTCTGCTGGAATGACCTTGCAGACTTCACCCCTTCCTTCCCGTCCCTTCTCCCAGCATTCTCAGGTCCCATCTGCATCATCCATACTGTCAACCGATGGCTGTTACGCAGAGTTCATACCCCAGCTATCTCTGCATCTATCACCAACATGGCAAGGACAGGTTCCTTACCAGTCAACGCCTGAAAGTTTCCAATCACAGGCCTCACGGCCGCCCCATCCACAGCATGCAAGAGCACTAACTACGGCTGCTAAACCAGTTCATTCTAGCAGGGGACTTGGTAAAAATATTGCAGCAGGTGTTCTTGGTCTGCTTGGCGGGGTTGTGCTCACCGAGACTGCCGGCGATGACAATATTGTTGATGATATCACTGAAATTATGGATGACATGTCGATTGGAAACTCTGCAGATGATCAGTCCGACCCCGATATGGGCACTAACAATAATCAAGGGAGCGGATTTGACTCTACAGATGTTCAAGGAGACCAGACATCTCCTGGGGATGCCTCCAACGTAACAGACTATCAAGGAGATCAGACGTTTACCAAGGACTTCTTTGACACTACGACAAACATCCAAGTAGACCAGACATTTTCTGGAGTCTCTTTTGACGTGCAATACTATCAAGGAGACCAGACAGTTACCGAGGACTTCTTTGATCCTACGGTGAACATTCAAGTAGACCAGACGTTTGATGGGGTCTCATTTGACGCACCATACTACCAAGGAGACCTGATAGTTACCGAGGACATCTTTGATCCTACGGCGAACATTCAAGTAGACCAGACATTTGATGAGGTCTCATTTGACGCACAATACTACCAAGGAGACCAGACATTTGCTGAGGACTTTTTTGATTCTATGGCGAACATTCAAGTAGACCAGAAGTTTGATGGGGTCTCCTTTGACGCGCCATACTATCAAGGAGACCAGCTGTTCACAGGCGACCCCTCCGGCCAAACATGGGTTGTGTCTGATCAGACCATAGGGAACGGAGTAGACCCCAATCAATCTCAAGGACTCCACCACACATCCCCACAAAGCTCTCATACATCCCACACCCAGAACCCACATATGAATCATGGTGCTCACCCCTCCTTTGTGACTGCCACTCATACTACACACTTGCAGGGACCGCCAATACCAGCCCATAATGCTGTGAACCACGGTCACGGCACCGCCCCTCACCATGCTCATTCGCCCCAATCCCAGGTGGGATCCTCCGTCCATCCCGCACAATATCATGCTCAGGGAAACTCGCAACAGAATCATACTGGTCAACAGAATCACACTAGTCAACATAAGCACACTGGTCATCATCATAGTCATCATAGTCATGGTCTAAACAAGACCATGGAATTAGTCAAGGACACGTTGACTACTGGTAGTGCTCTCGCAGTGCTTGTAGGGAATGGGAATGGATGATCCTCGTAATTGCAAGCCCTCTGGTTATCAATTGCATGCTATTCACATGCGTTAAAGTTGATTATGCATTAAGTTGGTCTAAATACATATCACGTATACTACACAGTAGTGCTTTTCAATCTTGTTATCATTAGGCAGCTTTTTACTCACTTTCGCATTAGAAAGTTTTTCTCTTGGTGGGCTGTCAGACATCAGTCGCTCCCTTGAGTCAGTAGTAGCATACTAAAATTTAGCATCGGCTTCAGGTCGTTGGAGTGGGGCACCCCCTAGTAGGGGGTGATAGACAAGACACCTGCGGTACTTGCAGAAAGAACCACCGCACTAATGATTGCAATGCCTACCGCACCCTCTACTGTGTTAGCTGCAACTCGGACAACCACGCCAGCTGGAACCGGAACTGTCCCGAATTCGAGTCCAGGTGCGCAGGGATAGACGCCAAACATCCAGAAAATTCCATGCCGTTCTTCCCAACCGACGACCCCTGGACCCAGGTACTGTTACCCTCACAGCCAGCTCCACCTCAGAAAGCTACATTGACCCTCACACCACCACCCACTAATCCACATCGCCCACCACCCCTTCGCCAGACAAACCTTCCTTTCGAGTCACATCGCCCCATTAGAGGACATTCTACATGAGGAGCACCACATCATGTAGGCCAAAGGGGCTTCAGAGCCCCCACACCCACAGGACCCAACTCAATCCCGATTGTCGCCAACACCAACAAGGTTTGGGACCATGGACGACGCACTCCTGTAGCTCAACGTTCCCCAACCCCCTCCATAACGGACTCCCCTCTCACATCCTCCTCTGTCTATGTGACCCCACCCAATGTCTGAACAACACATCGAAACATCGACTCGACTACGCGTATGGCAACAGAACTTAAATATGTCACTTGTGGCGCAACACTCACTCCTTAATAGTCCTATCGCCCGAGAATGGGACATCATCGCCCTCCAGGAACCTCACATCAACTCAATGAAGAATACCATATCGCCCACATACTTCCACGCTGTATACCCTACCACCAGATTCTCAGCACCTAATCTTAAGTCACGAGCGGTCACCCTCATCTCCAAATCTCTAGAAACTAACTCATGGCAGCAATTCGCATTTCCCTCACCGGACGTTGTTGTAATCCAATTTCAGGGCCCATTCAGCCGATGCACAATATTTAATATCTATAACGATTGTCTACTAATGAACACCCAGGAGGCACTTGCCTCCTTCCTAGAACGAGAGATAGTGAACTTATGCCCTTCCGCTGATGACCACATGATCTGGCTTGGCGATTTCAACAGGCACCACCCTCTTTGGGACGAGGACCGCAACACCCAATTATTCACTAACCATTATCTTAACGCAGCTCAACCTCTCTTAGACCTCCTGGCGGACTATGGTATGATATTAGCCCTGCCGAAAGGCATGCCAATGCTACAGTCATCAAGCTCGAAAAACTGGACATGCCCCGACAATGTCTTCTGCACGGATCACACTAGTGACTCCTTCCTGAGCTGCTCAACCAATCCAGCATTACGCGGGCCTGCTACTGACCATCTCCCCATACTTAGTATCTTGGAATTCGACGTCCCGAGAGCCACAGTGGAGGAGAAGCACAACTTTAGGGAAACGGATTGGGAGATGTTCAATGAACGTCTAGCCTTAGAACTGGATATGCTTTCTCCTGCTCAGCCACTCGTCACTGACGAGGAATTTCAGAATGCAGCACGGGCCCTAACCACTGCGATTCAACATACGATAGCGCAAACCGTCCCTAAATCGAAGCCTAACCCCCACTCCAAACGATGGTGGACAAGAGACCTTACCATTCTGCGATGCGAAGTAGCAAAACTATGTCACCGCTCATATAGACTACGCAATAATGCTAACCACCCCAGCCACGAGGAATATCACATCAAACATAATCAGTACTCGGAAGCCATCAAGCAGACTAAGAAAGAACATTGGATCAGTTGGCTCGAAGAGATCAAAGGTAACAATATTTGGATTGCTAACAATTACCTCACAGCAGCAGCGGGCGATGGCGGCCCATCTAGAATCCCAACGTTACGATGGCCTGATGGCTCCTTTGCAGACACTAACAAGGAGAAAAGTGCGGCCCTAGCGGGCACGTTCTTTCCGCCCCCACCAGCTGTCTCATCCGTCCCAGCAGAGGTCATCTACCCCAAACCAGTTCACACGCCGGCACCTATCAACGGAACTCAACTATCGAGAAGTATCGCCAAACTCAGTCCTTACAAGGCACCTGGACCCGACGGCATATGCAACATTGTTTTCATTCGCTGCGCGGCCCTGCTCAACCAGTACTTACTTCATCTATTTACAGCTGTATTCACGCTTCAGACATATCACCCCCCATGGAAAGACTTTACAACTGTCGTCCTATGCAAACCTGGAAAGCCGGACTATACCATCACGAAGGCCTACAGACCTATTGTGCTCCTCAACACGATGTGCAAGCTACTTACGGCCGTGGTTGCGGACCAAATGACATACCTCCTCGAGCACCACAATCTACTCCCCGATACCCACTTCGGCGGCCATCCTGGCAGATCCACCACGGACTCATTGCATCTACTCGAGGCAACCGTCAAAGATGCCTGGAGGCAAGGTAAAGTTGTTTCAGCGTTATTCCTGGATACAGAAGGTGCATTCCCGAATGCCGTAACTGACCGCCTCCTGCATAACATGAGGAAGAGACGTCTCCCAGAGTCTCTGGTAGGATTCACTGAACGTTTGTTAACAGATCGTCGCACTCAGCTCAAGTTCGACGGACACTTATCCGAATGGATTCCAATTCGCAACAGAATAGGCCAGGGGGACCCGCTTTCCATGATTCTATATGTCATCTACAACTCGGACCTCGTAGACATCGCCATCGGAAACGGCAAGAAGGAGAGAACACTAGCATTTGTTGACAATACTGCATTTATTGCCATAGGGAAATCTTTTCATGAGACACACGACATCCTCAAGCACATGTTGGAAAGGCCAGAGGGCGGCTATGAATGGGCGAGAACCCACAACTCTAAGTTTGAAACCTCAAAATTTGCGTTAATGGACTTCTCGATGAATTCTGCCAAAGAACGCCCTCTCTCACAACCAGGAACACCACGATCACCCCAACAGCGACGCACCGCTTCTTAGGAGTCATACTGGATCAAACACTACGATGGGGAGCCCATATCGCATACGCTCTAGCGAAGGGTACCGCATATGTCTTCCAGCTGCACCACCTTTCTTCTACCTCTCTGGGAATGCCACTCTCACTAATGTGCCAATTATACCTAGCTGTAGCCCTACCTAAGATGTTATACGCAGTAGATCTCTGGTTCTGTCCCTTATTCATAGGGGACGGAGACACCCCTCAACAAGGTTCAATAGGTGTGGTCAGGTGTCTGACAAGGGTCCAACGCGTCGTGGCTCTAAGCATCACCGGGGCAATGCACACCATGGCAACGGACACCCTGGAAGTACATGCGAAGTTGATCCCTCTTTAGCACCGGCTCCAAAACTTATGCTACCAAGCAGCTATCCGCCTAGCGGGGCACCCCACGACTCACCCATTGTTTCTACCGGTGAGACGAGCTGCTAACAGACTTGTCAGGCGTCACAGATCTTCTCTCCACCACCTATACCACGCCACTAAGCTCGACTTGGGCTCCATCGAGACCATCACGCATAATAGATGTCCCCCACATCAGGAAAATACCATTTGACTACAGGTGGCTATATAGTCGCTGTAGTACCTGTAGTCCCATTTGTCAAGTCCCTTCTACATGTGGCTATATAGCCACACGGCTCGCTATGAGAGTCACTGGTAGCTCGTCATAGCAAGCTACAGGAGGCTACAGGCTACTAACACTAGTAGGACCTGATAGTTACGAGGCCAAAAGAAATGTCACCAGTGCTCACATCAGATGATTTCACATGTTATAATGTACAATTGGTAGGAATTGAACCCAACACCTTGAACAATTATAAGTGCATCATTTTTACAACTAGGCTACAAGACTACTTGTATATTCTTACAATAATAGAAATATATACCAATGCAATATGACAATATTGCGAAAATTCCATCAAGTCAATTATCACACGGTTCAACGAGTCCAAAATGGTGGCACATTAGAGCACCTTCCTTTCGATTGCAACAAGTCCTCGCTCGACACACCAACTCCACCGCAAGGTGGCAAGTGATTTTTATTTTAACGAGTTCAAATATTGACGGCGAGATGTTTGGTGTGTCTGTCATAAGTAGTTTGTAGACAGGTTAATATCACACGAGCGCTGTAGCTGCCTGGAGTGACCTGTAGCAAATATTTCTCCAGCTGACTCCTGTAGTAGCGGTGACTTTGGCTATATAGTTGTATGTAGCTTGAAGGGTGCCTACATAGCACTACTGTGGCTACAGTAGCTTGAAGGGTGCCTATATAGCGCTACAGTGGCTACAGTAGCTTGAAGGGTGCCTATATAGTGCTACTGTGCCTATATAGCTCTATGTAGCTGTCACCAGGGCTACGGCATTTTGAGTTTTTTACTGATGCAAGCTCTCGAACTCCATATCAAACCTCTATCGCCAACACCAGAGAACTGGCCATTCAAGAACATAATGATAATGATGATGGGATTAAGATCTACAGTGATGGTTCGGGCATAGACGGCCAAGTGGGAGCAGCAGCGGTGCTCATTCGTAACGACCGACTACAACCAAAGACTTTGCGCTACCACCTGGGTTCTACAGATGACCACACCGTATACGAAGCCGAGGCAGTTGGACTAACGTTAGCAGCGCAATTACTCTCTATGGAAGATGATATCACCTACCCTGTCTCCATCTTCGTGGATAACCAGGCCACGATCAAATCCGGTGAAGTTCTCTCGACTAAATCAGGCCATTATTTGATAGACCACTTTCGGAGCATGATAACGAAACTGAAGAAAGCCAGCCATGACCGCCACTTTGAAGTCATGGTTAGATGGATATCGGGACATGACGGAGTTGAGGGGAATGAATTAGCAGACAGGGAGGCCAAACAAGCGGCCAAATCATGAATGGAATCCAGCCCCAGAAGGCACCTCCTGCCTTATCTTCATAAAGGGGTGCTCCCAAGCAGTATATCCGCACTGAAACAAGCACAAAAGCACGAGTCGTCTGAGCGTTGGACCAGGTTTTGGCGAAAGTCACCTCGATACAATCATACTGACAATTTAGACCCGGACATTCTCAAAGGATCATTCATCTCCCTAGCCCAACATCTCCCGAAACAACATATCAGCATGCTTATCTGGCTTCGCACCAAACACATCTCTCTCAACCAGCATCTTCACCACATCGGCAAAAGTCCCTCTCCCAATTGTCTGCACTGTGAAAACACGGCGGAAACAGTATTGCACTTTCTACTTGTGTGCCCTCAGTATGCAAGAGTGCGACATATTCTCACCACTGCTCACTGTCGTCGCGCTTCCTCCATGTCGTTCCTGTTGTCCAACCCCAAAGCAAGTGCCTCACTCATTCATTATGTTAACAGCACGGGCCGCCTACAGACAATATTCGGTGATGTCTCCTAGTGATGCCGGAGTCCGGTTCGGAACTTCGGTTCGAACGCGAACCCTTCCGAACTGGACTGTCCGTTCGGTCCGAGGTTCAGCCTACGGTAAGAACCGAACCTATTATTAGGTTCAGCGTTCGGCTGATGCCTCGGATTTGTGAACCCGTCTGGACCCGTTCGAACGCGTTCGAACGGTTCTTTCCTTCTGTCTATGATCCGCTTGAGGTCCTCAGCTTATTGCTATCCATCTATCCTAATATTTTTTCTGATCACCTGGCAACAAACTCATATGGCCATTGGCAGTTCTGGGAGCATTGATCTCCAGAACGGCTCTTACTTCACGACCAAAAGACTGAATGCATTTCTGTTAGTGACGTCTGACTTCCTCTGTGATCTATTCAACGTTTTGGTAAGCCCTATGTTAATCATTATTAGGATTATAATTTAATCTATGTTCAGAACATATCTTTGGGATGCTCGTTCAGGTACTTGCTTTTGCTTCAACATCAATCAACTGTTGCAGTCATTGCATGGCAACAATATGTTCAAGGTGCGTCGCATTTTTCTAATCTCTAACCACAAATTTTGGTATAAATGAGCTACTACAGGTACAATATTCACCCTTCTGGCTGCAAGAATGTCTTGCGCACTTGGATCCAATGGCCAACTCAAAGACGCTAGCGCCATCGATTGGTACAATGATCCCGACGATGACACCCCCATGCTTGCTCCACCTCCGCCTCCTGCATCCAATGGCAAGCTGACTGCCTTCGTGTCTCGCTCAGGCCGAGCCGTTAAACCGACAGAAAAAATCCGCAATGCTGGCAACACAGCTCCAGCCAAAGCTGCCAAACGAGTGCCTCCAGTGCCTCCCCAAGGACAGCCCGCACCCAAGCGAGTGCAACGTGGGTCCCACGATGACGATGACGGCTTCAGGTATGTGCGAGTGTCCAGTCGAGTCTCAAATGTTGTATTAACCTACTGTATAACCAGGAACCTGCCAATGCTCAACAATCGTTTTCGGCGACTCGTGAACCTACCGTATGGCGCGCGATTCCAGTCCTCGAGTATCTCCAACAAACTTGGCAAAACATGGCTGGTTCGTCAAAGTTTGACGACTTTTCATCCGCGATCAACTCTGGCCTCGACAATATTCGCAAATGGTACCACAAAATCGACGAAACTGATGTTTATTTCGTTTGCCTTGGTATGTATTTTATTTATTATGATGCCCTATCTAATGTACAATGTAGCGCTCGATCCTAACTATAAGGTGGCATACGCGAAGGGTAAATGGGAGCCTCGCGACTTTGACGAGGGCATGAGAAGCTTGCGGAAGGTTTTCGACAAATATTATCATTGCAATGTCTCGCCCGCCACTGCAGAGCCAGCTGCTGTGGCTCCTTCCTTGCTTGCTCGCCAGGGGTCATACGGCCATAGCTGGATGCGCGATGCTGTCAAAACTCGTGTCGCAAATGACACCGCAAATCGAAGACCTCACCAGGAGCTCGACGAGTACCTTGCTGCCCCATTAGAAGATGTTGAGAATATAGTGGCGTGGTGGGGCGTGAGTTTTTTCGCATCGTGTTTCCTTGCAAGTTGACTTAAAATGCCTTTAGCACCATTCCATTCAATATCCCACCATCTCTCGCATTGCAAAGGATTACCTCGCTATTCAAGGCTCTGCCGTCGCATCCGAACGAGCGTTTTCGAGTGGCGGCATCACTGGGACCACGCGCCGTAATCGGTTGTTGCCAACAACATTTGAGGCCCTACAGCTGTTGAAAAGTGGGTACCGTCAAGGCCATATTTCCGCAACGGTTCAAGCTGAGTTTGCTGCTGCTCACGAACACTCTGCCATGGACGAAATTTAGCTACTCATTTACTGTTCATGTATTTCTTGCAATTTTTGTCAATTTATATGTAGCGTTCGAGCGTTCGAACGCGTTCTGAACTCAAACCGAACGCTTGTGAACGCGTTCATCAGCGTCCGGTCCAGTGTTCGTCCTCCTTGCCTGAACGTGACCGATGGTTCAGTTCGGCGTTCGCATTTAGAGGCCTAAGAACCGAACCGAACCGGACTTCGGCACCACTAATGTCTCCCCTAAGACTAAATGACGACAGACGATGACTACCTCTTTAGCGTACCACAGAAAGAACCCAAGCAGACCCCTCACGGTTAAGGGAACCTCTAGGTGCAGGACACCAGACCTTAACCCACTGCTCGACGATGACGGGACTCAGACTATCAGCAGTCCAAATGGAGAACACAAGAAGCATTGAACTAGAAGAAGAAAGAGGAAAGGATATTCACAGAAAGAAGGAGGAACGGAATACCTTGCTTGCTCGCCACCCAAACAAACACCCTCCCAAGGCGCCGGCGTAACGAGGATATCCGCACCTAAAACTTTACTTTACGCTCCACGCTCCATCATTCCTATCGTACACGGTGTCACACCTGAGTACTTGTATCATCCACAGCCAACGACAGGGACCCACCCACCACGAACTGTACAGCAAAGGTCCCACGGATTGGAAGACTTGCACATCTCAAATGGCCGGCGGGAACGGCAGACTGAGGGAGGTCACCCCTCCCTCAGGGCATTTGCGAAGTCGGAGACGCGGTGGGGGACTATGGAGTCCCCCGTTTTCCTAGTTAGAATTGTCCTACATAGGGTATCGTACCCCACATGGACATAAATTGGATTTTTTTAAAAAAAGAAAAAAAAAGGGGGGTGATAGAGGCAGAGAGTCAGCAGGGGTTAGCAGAGGCCAGTAGAGGCCAGTAGAGGTCGATAGGAGCCAGCGAGCGAAGGTTGGGTTAGCTTAGTCAGCACGAAGGTTCTCAGCAGGCGGTTGTAGTAGTCATAGCTCATTCCATTCCATCAGTCATCCCTCGCATTCACATTGGCTGGAGTTGCCACTCCATCGTCAGCTAGGGAGAGTCCTCGTTGCTTGCATCGACATCAACGAGTGCGATGGATCTCTCATTGTCAGATTTAATGTGCTGGTACTGCCACCTGCAGCTGCACCAGATTAATGCTGACGTTATGATAGAGCGTGGCACTGGCTTGCATTGTGCACTAGTTACCCTACCAAAACGGCACTTAACTGCATTTGTTTAGGGCCAGCCTACACCCTCGCCCGCCGATTCAGATGGCAATGGAAGGTATCATGCAGAATTGTTGGATCATAACAAAGAACATTGAATAAGTGCACATACTTATGGTATGCGTTTAACTGGTATTTGTACAGCCTATAAGAAGATCCTCGTTAAAGCTCATCTAGCATGCGATGCTCTCGCTAATCTTTCTTCTCCTTTTGGTCGTTCGACTGTATCTTTATTCCAGTCGAATACCCGATAGTCCCAATGAATACCAATCCTGCGCCGACCCACATCTCCGTGTTTCCCTGTCCTCCATAGACTGCGACGCTTAGCAATAACGAGATGGCCTTGCGTACAGTAAGAATGAGGGTCACAGTCAGTGAAGATACACGCCCAGTGAGCCTGTTGACTCCTACGACACACACGAGCTGTGTGCACGTGTTCAAGAGGAGGTAGACAAATATTGAGGGCACTATAAGGCCTGCCTCGTATGGTGCAAGAGGTCCAGACTGCGGCAGGGAGAGGAAAACAGGTGGACTAGAACTCATACGTGTGAGCTCCATGGATATGTTATCTTTGGACAAGTAAAACAAGGGGAGAGCGAGGGAGTGGAGGTAGAACATATGTTCCTGCCATAAAGATTGTCCTGTGGGGTCGGAAGCAGCTTCCGCTTCAGCGGGTGCGATGTATCGTGCATAGACCCAGTCCTGGATGAGTCCCAGGAAACCTGAGAGGACGAGGGCAAGACCAAGGATGGATATGCCCATTGCGTAGAGTGATGTATTAGATGTGCCTAGTACTTCGGCAGTATGAGATTTGGGTTTTGAGGCAGAGAGTGTGGTCGTTATGATGCCAGCTGTGACGACGACGACAGAAACAACTTGTCGCACGGTATATCTGGCATTTCTTTGGGATAAGTAAACGCTGGAAATCCTGTAGCGAAACACCAACCGCTTCTTTGTGAACATCCATCCTAGAATCATATTTATGATCATGCCACCGCTGCGAAACACGATGTGCACAGTCATAGGAATGTGGTATGCAAAAGCAGCGTTATTCAGAGTTGACAGTACGAAGAACAATGCGACCTGAATGAAATAAGGTAGCAGAGGTACCTTCCGGTTCTTCAGTCGAGGAATCCATCTCCTGCGCGGTGTTGTTGGAGCAGACACAGTACCATTTGGTCCATTTGCTGCGTGTTTAGATTCTGGGGGGTCGTTGAATGTGAATTGCTTGGGTAGTCCATATAATGAAACGATGAGGAACTGGAAGAAGGTGATCAGGACGCCTGCGTTTGGGTAACGAGCTGTGATGTGTTCTAAGGTGATGGCATTACTGAACCACGTTCCCGAATTAGCGTCAGAATGAAATCTAGTTCAAGGTCACTCACCTGCAGCAGCCTCCGAACACCAATGAAAGAGTGGTGATCCAGTCTGACAATGACAACATGAGGAAAGCAAGAAACGCGGTAGCAGCGCACGCGGTCTGCTGACACCTTTTGGTCCGCAACTCATCCACTCGGGCGCGGCCTCTCAGTACAGCCGAACGTTAACGTTCAGCTGTCAAAGGATATCTTGACTCACATGTTGAAACGAACAAGCTTAAGGTTAATAACCCATAATAATAAATCTTCAAAATTACCAAGACTGCTCAATGTTACAGCTGCTCAGTCTGGCGGTCTCGTTCATAATTACCATCAAGTTTATAAAGGTCAGGGTCTTGAATATGGGTTTCCTTTGCTCTGTGCTCTGTTCCACTCACTGCTCGCCTAACTTGTTAACGTCCTCGTCGCTGGCTCCGGCGGTATAACGTATTTACCACATTGATTTTAGTCTCGTGATCTCGGCGCGTGTCGCGCTGTTTGTTGGTATTCACGCCAGCTTCATAAGCTCGCCCCGCAGGAATCTTACTCCTTGTCTTTTCTTTTCTTTGCTTCATTTGCCCCCCGCCGGGCACAACACAACAATCTCTATCACGTCCACTCCCTTCAGAAATGTCCTTAGACCGCCGTCACCCAGCGTCTCTCCTCCCAAGGTCTCTTCATAATCCATACCTTGTAGAACTTATGCGTAGGTCTGTCACAATGGAGATGATCTCCTACATTGCCCATCAGGCGTCGCGAGCCATCATGATCAACGAGCAACTCCCTGCTCCCAGTGCCCTCCCAACACCCCCTACGACGCCAATCAAGGCCCCCTTCTCTGAGACACAGGACGTCGCTCCTCCCGCCCAAGTGGCGCTGAAACTGCCAAGTCTTGTGCACTTCATCACGCGCTTAGTGAATAGGTCGAACGTTCAGGTGCCTACGCTACTCACCACCCTCATTTACTTGCACCGCGTGCGTGTCAAGGTGCCTGCCATGACCAAGGGTACGTAGCATGTAATATTTTCCATCAAATTTCTTATCATATTTTTTAGGCCGGCCATGCACTCGGCACCGTGTCTTCCTGGCGACGCTGATCGTAGCGGCCAAGTACCTCAACGACTCATCTCCCAAAAACACACATTGGGCGGCATACGCTGAACACTTTGACCTCCCAGAGGTGAACCTCATGGAGGAACAGCTTCTCTATATACTGGGCTACGACCTCCGCTTCGACGAGCAGGAAGTGTGCATCCACTTTGCACCTTTTATGCCCACGCGCATCGTCTGCCCCCTAACTCCCCAGCAGGAAACCCGTGCAGCGGCGGTCGAGCGAGTTTCAAAAGCAGGCAAAGCCCGCGCCCAGGCGCAGCTACCAACTCCACCTAGCGAAGTTCCACCTCCACCGCCCATTGGGTCCTCTATTGTGTCCACAGTTCGCGGGATTGCAAGGCGTCTCTCGAGCAGCCGTCTTGGAGGTACCCAGGGCCGTGCTTCTTGCATTGCATCACCCATATCGAGTGTACATAGCTGCGACAGCTCGAGTGCAACTGACTCCGAGATGGAATCATTAATTGAGGACTCTGGGTCTTCGTCTGATTCAGCTAGCAGCGTCTCCGACGATGAGCAAGAGGCGGACGAGAAACCAAGCGTCGTAAGGAAACCGTTTGTCTTAGGTGGTATCCCGCCCCAGGCGCACAGAGAAGGGCGAAAGGTATCCGAAGCAGGTTCAGTCCGATCTATAGCGACCGTCCGAGGAGGCGACTCTCCATCTCCTCCAAACCCGCCCGCGCCTTTGGACATGTGCACGATCAGAGTCGTCAACCGTGCTGCGGCTCCCGGAAAGCGAGCGAGCTCCTACGTATACGGCATGTCGAACGTCAATCGGAATCAATCCGACGCTGATTCCGCTGGCGGATCCGGTATTCCTGCTTCTAGTATGAAAGCAAGCGTCAGCATGTCTTCCAACGGGTTCCTTAGCCGCATATGGAGCGCGGCGATCAAGGGTCAGGAGAAAGAGAAGCCGACTTATGACCTCTCTGGTAAGGGGTCTGTGGGTCCTCCTGTGGTGAGCGTTGTCGAGCCTGCAGAACGCCATCCCCCTGGCCACGGGGCTAGCGCGTTCCATAGACTGGTACACTCGAGGTCTGCGATCTTCCGAGCGACGGCCAATCAGAATCTACTTGACGTTTGAGTCTCGACCGGCGGGTGACGGACGCGTTTCCTTACATCATTTAACAACCTCCTCATTTCTGCATCGATCTTCACATTGTTTCATGGCACATCACTATCACCTATCGTACTCTGGATATCACGTTACCCACCCCTCAGACTCGTTTTTCACCTTCATCTCATTCCCCGGACATCTCGGTGACATGGACGTCGGACACCACTGTAGTTCTATTCCTACTCTCGTTCTGTATCCGTCAGAAAACCATACCGCTCGTCGATTACTTGTACTTCAATGGATGTATACATAAATATATACTATGATTTCAAGCCCATCTGTGATGATTGGATAAGAAATAGCTATCCGATCGCCGTGGGATGCCTGCTCGACTGGTGATGGCATGCTGTCTTGTGCTGTCCCACAAATTCTCCAGGACCGATAGACCTGTCAAAGTAGGTCTACTTGCCGCATTACATTTGGAACGATAGTGGTATGCATCGACGTCAAATAGATATCACAACAGTTTCACGTATGAGGCAGGGAATAATCCCTCCTTTCCTTGGCCCTCTATCTGACCCGTCCACCTGAATAAAAAGTCAGTGACGTGCGCAACATTCAAGATCCAAGGACAAAGACAACCCACCAGTCATCAGAAGATTTCGCAGTGACAAATACACGAGAGCCAGTTTGGACTTCCAGATCGCCAGGATCCTAAAGTGTGAAAAAATGAAGATGGCTCAGTTCGACTGGACGCATTGATTGCAACTGAACGCATCAGACCTCGCTACTATAGTCATACAAGACCTCTGCCCACTCCCCTTGTGGTTCCTCGGGTTCAGGTTCGACTGCACGTCGTGGGAGGACGGGTGGTGGGGACCTAGCAGCGGAAGGCTCAGGAGCGCTCGTTTCTGACGTCGTGCGCCGAGTAGGAGGCGGGCCATATGACGTCTTGGGCGGTTGGAATGCAGGGGGAATAGCTACGTTCGCTGTGGGTGCTTTCTTGAATGCGCCCAATACGCTTGACTGCGATGTGGAAATGGGTATTAGCATTTGGTGGATTGAGAGGGTGCATCAAGAAGAAGAAATGGAAGGTACAGACCTTTTTCGTGATTAGTTTATCGATCTCAGACCCTGACGAGGATGCGCTGTGTGCGCTGGAGCTGCGGGAAGGGAGGGAAGGAGCTAGGGTTCTTGAAGCGTTCAAAGACGAGAATGCATTGCTTGAGCTGCTGAACGCGAGCGAAGCTGCCGCTACTCTTCCTACGGAATTGCTCACTTGTGGATTACTGGCTATCTGCTCGACGGATCGGGGATTGATGTAGTTAACACTACGACTCATTGCTTGATATCATGTGGGCAGCGAAGAGACGTACCGTGGATGCATATGGGTTATTGGACTTCGCAAGTCCGTGCGTCACCCCGGCGGAGACGATCTTGGAGGTGACTTCTGGGTTGCTGGCGAGAGCGCGGTGAACGGCTGATGCAGCGGCTGCGGATGGGTCTCGGGCGTTGCTGGTGCTTGTGTTAACGTGGGCGAGGATCTCGGGGCGGGACTGGAAGTACCTGCGAGCAACGAATCGTGGTCAGTAAATGAGGGATGAGGGAGAGATGCCAGCGGTGCGGACTCGTCTAGAAGCCCGAAGAAGGCATTTTTCTCTTGTGAGGAGAGTCTGGTGAATACCATCGCTTGCGGTATAGTGGAGTGGAGATGCTGATATCCAAGCGGAGACTTATTATACTTGGAACAGGCACTCGACTCGGATAGTAATACTGTAATAGCACCGTCCAACAAAAATATAACAGTCCTGCCCCGGACCTTCATCCGATCAAAATTCATAGAAAAAAAAGGCTTCTACAAAATACAGACGACTCCAGAACAGAGCAGGGATGCAGTAAAAAAAAAGAAAAGAAAGAAAGAAAAACTATGAAACCGAAAAAAAATCAGAACGTACAGTAGCATCGAAAGCGACGTGTGAGGGGTAAAAGTAAAAAAAGTAAAACGCTCGAAAACAGCCTCTGAGGGAGCCGCGAAAAACAAATAATAAGATAATATCGAAGTGATAATCAACGTCCCAACTCCTAGGACCCGGAACCAGAACGGGACACCTTCATGGACCATTCCAATTAAATATATCGTATTCTCCTGCTGTGCTCGCGTCTCCTATGGGACTGATGGTTTGTTGCATGGTGATGTTTGGAGGTCGTTGGTTGCTTTGGGGGTAATATCCGTTCATGCTTTGCTGTTGCCAGTTAGGCCCTCCGGATGGTGAGATGGTGCCGCCGTAGGGGCTGCTCGTTGCTCCTGCTCCTCCATGGGGGTTCATCCCAAACCCGTTCATTTGCCCTCCGAGCGACAGTTGTTGCTGTTGCTGCTGCTGCTGTTGCTGCTGTTGCTGTTGCTGTTGCTGCTGCTGTTGCTGTTGCTGCTGTTGCTGCTGCTGCTGTTGCTGTTGCTGCTGCTGCTGCTGCTGGCCATTCTGCCATTGATGATACTGCACCTGCGGATGGAATGAGCCAGCATTCTGTTGCGTCCCCATCATGCCCGGTTGTGCCTGCTGCGTCATTGCCCGCTGGAAATCTTCAGGCTGCATAGGAGGCTGCGACGAAAGCCTTGACGGAGCCCGAGGTGTCATGGGCGAATGTACGCTCTCAGAAGGTGACCGCCCACTCCTCGCAATTCCTGGAATAGTCGAATTCGAGCGCAATGCGGGGAAGGTATCATTCGCAGGGGCAGACATGGGTGAGCCCCCTTGAGATGGACCACCCTGGGGCATTCCCCGCTGCTGCTGTTGCTGCTGCATCGCAAACGCCTGCTGTGGGTTCATGAGGTTCGAAGCGTTCATGTTCATGTTCCCGCCTGAATTCCGCATTTGCTGCATGAGCATGAGCTGTCGTTGTTGATTTAGGTTCATGGCGCCCATGTTGCCCGGCATTTGCTGTGTGAAATTGGAGGCTGCTATGCGGGGGTCTACGCTGGGTGCGTTGTGGCCTTGATTACTGAATGGATACATGCCGGCTTGCTGGGACTGGGCGCTCATTTGTTGTTGGGATTGAGATGAGACGGGTGATTGCTGGCCTAGGGGAGATACAGGGCTTGGACCGCTGCTTTGCATGGGAGCGTTGGGCATGGGCGACATGGAGGGGTTCTGACCTAGACCGGGCATTTGACCAGGCATAGGGGGGCGTTGTTGCTGATTGGGCGGATTCTGTTGCTGCTTCTGCGCCAGAATGTTCTGTACGAAACATCAATATCACAGTTCGCAAACACAACGTAAATCATCACCTGAAAGCTCGTGAGCTTCTGCACCTGTTGAGGTAACGGTAGAGATGTGAAGTTAGGGATTTGGGACATGAGATACGTCATCAGGGGATGGCTGGTATTTTGGAGAATCTGCATCGGTGAAGCGTTGTGGCCATATGATGTATGTGGATGTTGCGGTGCGCTCGGCCCCATATTTTGGGGAATTCGCGGGGAGGAATCAGGAGGGGAGATCTGGCGCGCGGACTGCATTTGATTTTGCATCTGGGCTGCTCGAAGTTGTTGTTCGCGTGCTTGGTGGATCTGCATTTCCCGTGCGCGAGCACGTGTCGTGGCCGCTATTGATGCTTCAGTGGCGCCGAAGGGTAGTGAGGGGGTAGACAATGGTGGAGGCATGGGACTGGAGGTGCGGGGACTCTGCGGCATGGCAGGCGTGCTGGCGACGGTTATGTTTGGATGGATGGATGGAGGGAATGATGATGTGGGACTGGTGCGCTGGCCAGCACCAGATATGGATATGGATGGGATTGCGGGTGGTTGCATGGAGTGCGGTTGCATGGAGTGGGGTTTGGTCTCACCAATGTCGCGTCTTTTGTTCATAAGGTCTGCCATGTCGTCCGGTCTGCTGCGCTTTAAAGGACCATTTAGGAGTGCGGCGGAAGTGGTAGGAGAGTATTGAGCGCCAGAAGCAAGCTGGCGTCGTGCGAGTTCCTTTGCGAATATGGTGGGTAAATCGGCGTAGAGGTGATGTATTCGATCCATTGATATGAATTCGACAGGAGAAGGAGCATCCATTGCGGGCAATACAAGTCTGGGGTCCTATTAAGAGAGTAAGTGAAGGGTTGTATTGAGTAGACAAGGGATACATACGTTACATCGTTGATGATCTGCAGCTGCCGCTAGCCAGGTCAAGTTGACTTGTATGCGATTAGCAAAACTGAAGGGTTGAATGATGAGGGTTGTTTTTTAAGATGAAGTAGTGCTTACTGAGAGAAGCGAGCGTCAGTCGGTGGCACGCCACGTGTCTGAAACTCCATACAGACTCTAAAAAGCAAGAAAGTGAGATTGAGGGTGGAAAAAGGGAGTGGGTGTGAACGGACTTTAGCAACTCTGAGTTGATCTCTAGAATCCTAAAGACTTTTGTTTCTCCTGTAGAGGAATCAGATAATTTTGCTGGTGGTAAGTTTGGTGAGGGGAGTTGGGTGATTGAGACGATTTCCCTTGATGGACGTCTTGAATGAGAAGGAGCTGCTGATGGACCAAGTCTGTGAGAGGGACCTGGGACGGGTATTGGGATTGGATATCTTGTTGGAGAGCTGGGGATTGAGCGGACTGGAGATGATGTACCATTTATTGTACGTTTTTCTGACCAACGATTATCTGCGTTGTCTTGTGCGCTGTTTAGGTCACCATTCTGCTCTTGTTCTACTTCTGCTGGACTGCTATCCTTCTTTTCAAAATCCAAACTCTCGTCACCATCTGGTACTGCTGATAGGTCTGTGAGTGGTGTTAACTGTCTCGAATAAGAACCATCTCCATCGTCTTCTTGTTCTTGTTCTTGTTCTTGTTCTTGTGCTTGCGGAGGAGACTTGTGTTTAATTTGAGGTGAATTGTATTCTGGAGGAGGTGAAAGTGACGAACTCTTGTCGTCAGCTGGAAGTGGGATAGGATGGAGTGTCTGACCCTCGGGATGATTATTATTCAAGTCAGACAAAGAGTTTGCGAAATAATTGTGATGCTCGTCGTTATGAGTGATGTCTGTGACCCAATTGAAAGTAGCTGAATGATCCTCTGGCAAGATTAGATTTGAATTTTGTTCTGAATCGATTTCGTTGCGGTTACGATCGAGATGGATCATTATAGTAGACGGAAAGTCGACGGAAGTTTAACCGGAGAATTGCGACCACTCAAGTTACACCACCGTGTGAATAACCCGACGCCTAGCTGAGTTTTAATCAGTACAGCCACAAATTATCAGTAGCTCGGCTACCTGGCGATCGCCGTGTAAAAAAAGGCCGAGCTTAACCGGTGCACCCTTCAAGTTGTAGGGTCATTATACTATCGTTGGGCCAGAGTTGCAAAATGCCTCATAGCTCATGCAACAACACATCCCAAGCCCTTTACTTTGGGACCTAGGACCTTCCAACATGGATTCATAGTACTGTATTTTTTTAAAAAAAAAAGGATGAGGAACATGTATGGCTTCAAATCTATCACTGAAAGTTACCTTTTGTAGAAGTATCTGTAGACTTGAGAGTAGGATTTGAATATTATATTGACTGAATTCAATGTAAATAAATGTTACACTATATATACTTTGTATTGCTAATACTGTAGAGTTACGACCATAACTTCATCACATGTCCCACCCTCCAATGAATTAAAGCTATTTGAAGTGATGGTCACACTAAATTTGGGGTCGCAAAGCTATTTTGTGACATATGGTAAATTAATAAAAAGCACCAAAAAAGACAAGAAATCACTGTAGACAACCTATTAGTGCGACCAAAAATCATTATATAAGGTGTTCACTGTGCGCCTGTGCTGTCCTCTCCCGAAACCAGGGATCTCTTTGCTTTCCTCTCCTCCCTCACCCATGTTCAAAGCTTCAGCAGCCTGAGCATGTCCTGCAACTTCCAACTTGTACACCTCTGCCTTGTTATGTATGATAAGTGAGCCATTACTAGGATCAACACTGTAACCTGCCAGTGGGCCCTGGCTGCCATCTGCAATATGCTGTAAGATGGCCTTGATTGCCACATCACTTCCATCCAAGGTGTCAGTGTTGTCTGTGAATGCTGGCTCTTCATCTGCATCCACAACACCATGCTGTTCCGAAAATTTATATTGGTAAGTCAAAATCTTTATCCAGATGTCTGGCTCGTTCTTCTGCACATCCCGAAGTCGTTGCAAGGCCTTACAGCTCATAAGGCTATCAAATGAGAGGTTGAATGATGGAACTGCATGGCAAGATGCAAAAGCCTGGAATATGAAGCCGTTAGGACATTGTCAATGATTTTTATTTGAAAGTAGAAACAAACCTGCTTAATCACTTTAGGTTTGCTGATAGTGTGGTATTCATTCAGTAGCCACTGCACTGAATGGTCATGCAGGGTGGGCAATGTCATATCAAGCCGCAATGCAAACAAAGTGTCTTGGTTCTTTTGCAATAAAGCTAATGCTTTGTTTACAATATCAGCATGTTGGGAGTGTTTCACTGCTAGCTTGGAGGAATGTTGAACTCCAACATCACATGGTTGTGCAATGCCAGTGCAGTTTCCAGGGACAAAATGATACTTGATCCATGGGTATGTCTCATTCAACCATGTTCGAAAAGCAATAGACCTGTGAACCGATGTAGGAATACAACACAGAGTGGGGCTATACAAAGATGGCTCCAAACTGATATCTTTATGTTGTGGTCTTGCACTGCCTAGTCTGCTATACTTGGTGAGACAAGTGCATTCGACCCAGGGGTCTGTGGTCTGGGAATAGTCTTGGGGGTCAGTGAGTGATGTGGGGTCAATAGTCCAAGCGCGGGAAACAATGTCCGAAGGTATAATTACGATGTCCGATGCAAAAAGTGTCGGTGTAGAAACAACAATACTGAGAGGAACAAATGATGCTCCTGACTGTATCTATAAATGTTGTGAGGTCACGCATTGCCTAGTCTGCTATACTTGAGACGACAAGTGCGTTCGACCCTAAAGGGGAAGCGAGTGCAGCAAGGATCTAGAAGTAGGTGCTGCTGGTTGGCTGATGCAAAGCGTGGGAAAGTGCAGGTGCGCGCAAGGCGTGGGAAAGCGAAGGTGCGCGCACGCGTGTGAGCGGAAATGAGAGAGTAAGATTGAGTTTGCTTAAGTGATGATATGATGCAAGACAAGAGATGTGAGTGCGAGGTGCCAAGGAATAGATTGCAACTATATTCTGCTAGGTAGTAAGTGGGTAAGTGGGAGGTAAAGTGGAAAGTGAGTTAGGTGAGTAATATTATGTACTGCTGGCGCTTATATATGGCGCCTAAGCGCTGTCATGCGGAGCCAAAGCACTACCGAGTGAGGTATGTAAAGATATATGTAAGTAAGGGTCCATGATAAGAATAAAGGTGGTATGATATGCAAATAAGGGCAAATGGAAATACACGCACTAGAGAACTTGGTGGACAGTGGATGGATGCTTCCGGATGGCTGGCGCTATAGGGCGCTCAAGCGCGGGAAAGCGCGCGCGCATATACATCGTGAAGTGCGGGAAGTGTGCGCGCATGTTGCACATTGCATGGGAAAGCTGCGCCTCATATAGGAATAGCTGCAGAAAGCATGCAGAGTGATGCTGCAAGTTTGTGCCATGTACTCCCTAGTGACAACTGCCATATCACGCAATGAGAGGCATGAGTCTCTACAACACGACACAGTCGCTGCACAGTAGTATATACCCTGCAAGGGGTAAAATCTATGCAATTGTGAAAAAAAGGGTGATTTAAAATGCTTGCGATGCATTCCAGGGGATCGCGCCAATACAAAATGACAGGCAATTTCGTTGGATGTGCAGTAGGGATCATTTGGGAGAACCAGCATGGACCGCTGTAGAGACTCATGCCTCTCATGGTGTGATATGGCACTTTTCACTAGGGAGTTCATTGCACGAACTTGCAGCACCATTCTGTGTGCTATCTACAGCTATCCCTATATGAGGTGCAGCTTTCCCGCGCAACGCGCACCATGCGCGCACCATTCCCGCGCTTTACGATGTATACGCGCGCGCGCTTTCCCGCGCTTGATCACCCTATAGCGCCAGCCTTCCGGAAGCATCCATCCACTGTCCACCAAGCTCTCTAGTGCGTGTATTTCCATTTCCCTTATTTACATATCATTCCACCTTTATTTATATCATGGACCCTTACTTACATACATATATCTTTACATACCTTACTCGGTAGCGATTCGGCTCCACATGACAGCGCTTAGGTGCCATATAAGCGCCAGCATTACCTACCAGGGAACGAAAAACTTTACCTTGTTAAACTAAACACACGTCAATCCTCAGTCTCGTGTAAGTGACTGAGATTACTATATACCTAAACACACGTCAATCTATCGAGATATTGTTAGTGTTTAGGCGGTGTGCAAAAGGTAACGAAACATACCCTCAGTCTCGTGTAAGTGACTGAGGGAAAAGGGGAAATGCGAAGAAATAGGTATATAAGTGTCTATGTTGGAATACCAACAATCATACTCCACGTCGCGTCGCACGTGCACGTTCGTGCATCAACACTCCTCCTCGACGCGATGCGTATCTCCTCCTCGACTGAATCACCGGAGTCCCAAGTTGTTGCGCAGGCGTTCGTGGTCCTTTCTGGCAAGCGCCTTTGTAAATATATCGGCAACATTGTCCTTTGAGCGGACGTAGTGCAGTTTGATTTGGCGCAGGGCGACTCGTTCTCGAATTGAATGGTGTGCCATGTCGATGTGTTTTACACGGGCATGGAATGAAGAGTCTTCAGTAAGGATTATCGCGCCATTGTTGTCGCACATGAGTGGGGATGCAGAGGCTTGGATGAAGCCGATCTCGAGAAGCAAAGTGCGTAACCATTTTATTTCCTTTCCAGCTTCGGACGCCGCAAGACACTCTGCTTCGCAAGTGGACAGTGATACAGTTTTTTGTTGGCGTGCGCTCCACGTAACGAATCCGCTGCCAAGCGTGCAGCAGTACCCGCTGACAGAACGGCGGGTGTCAGGACAACTTGCAAGATCGCTATCAGTATAGGCTAGGAGGCGCGCTGTGTGATCACCACCGAGGACAAGCTGTATGTCTCGCGTGCCTTTTAGGTAGCGCACTACACGCTTAGCTGCTTCCCAATGAGCGTGTCCATAGGAATCTAAGAACTTGCATAGCTGTTGAACAGCATATGCAATGTCGGGCCTTGTACCGATCGCAAGGTACATTAAGGACCCGACGAGGGAACGATAAGGAACACGAGACATAAGCTCACGATCAGCCTCTGAGCGCGGGGAGTGGTCATGACGTGAGAGATGGAGCCCGGGATCCATAGGTATGGTGACTGGCACGGCGTCCTTAAGTCCAAATTGCGCAATGATACGATCGATGAGGGCGGTTTGCGATAGGGAAATGGCGCGTTGTAGGACACGAGCTGGCGCTGGGCTCGTATCGAGCTATTTTACAGTACATGTCAAATACCCGTCACATGCTAATCACTTCCCGATGTTATCCGACGCTAACCTGCCAACCCGACGTTTAGGCCGCATCGGACCCGATGTTTTCCCGCGCACTTGTCCTATCCGTGTCCCATCCTGTCTTGCTAGCCCCACTAGGTGTGTAGTTCATTATTTCGCACATTACTCACGTCGTAGCCAGCGCTATTACATGTTTTCCCATAGTCCGCAGCGCCTCATGTTTATTTACATGTACTTCGGATCCGAAATACTCCGCCGCTACTTTCGCCTACGGGTTCCGCATTTCTACGTACTTACATATATATTGGACTGACCTCGAGCATTATTCATTATCTAAGTAGAGGGGAGCAGTTCCCCGACGCTTAGTGGTCAAACCCGATATTTCGTAGTTCTTAGTTGATATTGCGAATATCATCGCTCTTTCATTATCCGTATCAGTCATTGTTATTATTGCGCACACCGCTCGCTCTTCCGACGCTCGCTATAGCGTTACTATTAGTTTCCGACACCCCGAACCCGAACCCGATGTAGGGATTCATTTCTGGCTGGGCTTGTAGAGACTGTTTTTACCTTACCTTATGTTGGCACTTTTGTAGCTTACATAAGGAAGTTATCTTTTCACCAGTTACCAGTAGGAGTCAGAGTACTAAGCAGTTTTTCATGATATTTCCTCTCCTCTGAGCCTTGAGCCTGGTCCAGAAACCCTTTAGGGTCGAATAGCAGCTAGGTTCTGCAAGACCCAACATTGTTCAGACTCACTCTCTGAATTGTTGTACCTTCAACTGGAGCCCACCGCGAGGGTTTCTTGTGTTTCTAGGCTCTCTAAGCTCACCAATCATCCCCCAAATTCGCCTATTATCCTACCACAGTCATTCATTACCAGCTTCTCCCATATTCCCAAGTTTTCAGCATCTTCTCCTCCTCCCCAGCGCATTGATAAGTGTTTTTCTCACGCGGTTTTCGAGCGGATCTCTCGCAAACTTAGGGTCGTATTCCCCACGTCCGTCCGGTCATTTTGAGCCCTGGTTCATCGAATTTGGAGCAGTAGTTGTGGAGTTATCGAGTTTTTGGTGTTTTTGAGAAGTTGAGGAGAGATAAGGGTTTTCTGGGTGCTCTAAGGCCTGTCTCATCTAGCTCTTTTGGCCATTTACCATCCCTCAGTGGCTCTGTCCATTGCCCCAATCCGCTTTTTGATAGGACCAGCCCTTGTTGCCCTGCACCATACCCCTTCCTCCTCCTCCCTCTTGCACCTCTGCACATTTTCGCACTTTCACCAGCCCATTTCGCATCGGAACCCCATAGACCCTATACCCGTTTTGAAGCCCTCGTTCATGGCTTTCATTCGCGCATATCCGCGCCTTCGCGCGCGCTCAGCTGTTCGCTCGCTATCCGCATTTTCGCGTTCCCCCCAAATTTTGCGCCCCATTTTTGCGTTTTCTTTATATCTCGTCGCCCCGTGATCGCGCGCCCATCGCCTTAGGCGCGTTCTGACCGCATTCACCGCCGCTTTCCATCCATCCGCTCCGCTTCCCGATACGCCCACCCGCGCCCTCGCTACTCGCTGTTTTCGCTATTTTCGCATGTTTTCACCATTTCCTTCATATCTCCCTCAGTTCTTCACCAAACCTAGTCGACCCTATACTCATTTCGAAGCCCTCGTTCGCCTCTTTCGATCCGTCTACTTTCCGTCGTCATCCGCGCAACCACCACTTCGCATTTTATCGTTTTTATCGTTTTACCAGTCCCCCAGTACTGATGCGGTTCGCCTGGCACAAGAGATGTCAGGGAAAACAGGTGCTGGGGTCATCGTTTTATTGGATTGCCCTGACCCTCACTCACTGGCGCAGTTTACCTGGCATACGCGTCAAGGAAACAAAAGGTGTTTGAGGACCCCCAGGTTAGTAGTTTTCTTAGTTTAGCTTAGCTTTGGTTTGCATAGG